CGGCCATCAGCTGGCGGTGAGGGCGGAAAGAGATGTCGAAAGCCTGGGAAGGAAAAGTCCAAGGGGCCACCCAGCCACTCGGGCTCCCGGAAGGAGATGGGGGAGCTGGAGGTAGAGGGGTCTTCTCTGAGAAAGGGACATGGTGCGCCTGGGAGGCTGCAGGGCACCCAGTGTAGACGTCCCGCGGCTGGTGGGTGCTCGGGGCGAGCCCAGCACAGAGCGCCGGTCGGGCAGCACAGGCTTGAGGGTCATTAGAAAGTGACCGTCGTGGGTCAGGAGATGGGGTGGGAGAGCAGAGGCCCCGCCACTGAGGCTGGAAAACACGGCCATTTAGGGGAGCAGCGGGGAGAGCGGGAAGGGAGAAGACCCCACATAGGAGCGGAGAAAGCGGCTGAATAGAAACCCAGCCCAGGCACTTCCAGGAAGAGCAGGGCCAGTGCGTGGCTGGAGAAAAGACTCCCCCGGTGTGGCGACGCAGAAGCCCCCTCGCCGGCCGATTTCAATATGGCCATAAGGTGGACGCCCCCGGGGGAGCTGTGGGGGGTGAACTGTGGTGAGAAGTACGGGCGGTGAGTGTGGAGAGACTTCCCAGAGGGCTGTCTGTGAAGGGGGGCGAGAGCTGGCGCGGGAAGCCGAGCGAGCCGGCCGGGTGCGGACGCCCCCTCGGGCCAGCCCTGAGGACAGCCGTGCCCTGGTCTGGGCTTGCGGCCCACGCAGCGGAGCCAACCGGCGCGTGGCACGTGCCCCTGTCACCTGGCGCTGTTGCTGCTGGTCTTGCCCGTGCTAGGCAGGTGTAAGGAGGCCCCTGGGAGGGTGGGAGCTGCTCTGCCAGAGTCCCCGCTGGCCCGGGCGCCCAACCCTGCGCGGGAGCTGCCCTTCCTGAGCCGCCAGTGTGATGGCGGGTGTGTCCGCGTTGTTCTTCGCACTCAAGCTGCCTTCTCGGTTGGGGGGAACTTAGCTGTGCCCACAGCCACCGGGTGGGAGCTGAGCAGGGTGCGGGGAGTGACTTTGGGGTAGTTTGTTTTTTCCTTTAGAGTTGGGAGCAAGTTGGGCCTGTGGACACGCAGGGAGGGGACACCGGATTCGTCAGCGTGGCCGGCAAGGAGCACCTGCCCTTCCAGGACGGCCGCGCCGTGAGAGGAGCGGAGCCCGCCTGCGTGTCTCCTCTGCCTGCGGAGCCGAGCAGACTGGCACAACCTGTGCAACTTAACGGTGGAGGAGCCGGGAGGACTCAGCCAGTGGGGAGGGGAGCAGCAGGGTGGGGGGGAGGGGCGGCCATCAAGAGCCACCAGAGGGAACGTGGGCCTGCGGAGGGGTATTTTCCCGGCATTGCAAGGAGCTGAGTGGCTGGAGGCGGCCACATCACTCTGGAAGATGGCCGAAGGGGCAGCGCATCCCCGGGCCCAGAGCACATAGACCCTGCAGGGCCCCATAGGACCAGGTATTTCATCACCCTAATCTGTTCCCCACTCTGTTCCTGGTGAATCCCCTCACCCCCAACACCTCTGGTCTGTACCCCAGTTCTTGTATGCATAAATAAATAAATCTTTAAAAAAAGAATTTGGGGCCCTCCCTGTCCGCAGCTTCTGCAGCACAAGTTCAATCCCTGTCCAGGGAGCTACCCACAGAGCACAGCAGACCTCTCCTGTCTCCCCGCTGCTCCCCTCAGCAGTGTGTTTCAGGAGATCCACCTGTTCTGTTCCCCACTCTGTCTCTGAGAATCCTCTCACTCCCCACACCCAGGACTACACCCCAGCTCTTGTATGCATAAATAAATAAAAATAAATCATTTTTAAAAAGAGAGTTGTGGTTGTTGATATGAGGGTGAAGTGGTCATCTGGTTGCTGGGAGAACAGAAATTTGGACGAGGAAAAAAATCTTCAAAAAGGAGGAAAGGAGCAGAGGGGGCGGGTCATCCTGGGCTGGAGGGAGGCTCTCTGCCCAGCTCGTTGGTGTAGGAAGCCAGGTCACGAGAGGGGCACAATGACGGGGAGGGTGTCAGGACATCTGGGGAGAGGAAGGAGCTTGGAAGAGCCCCCAAGGGCTGGGAGGGCGCCCTCCGGGCGGTGACAAGGAACAGTTTGTAGGACCTGGAATGTGCCCCTGGTTTGGATGGAGGCAAATGGCCCAGGCCGGGGCTGGCCAGCAAGGGACAGGGAGCCCTGCACGACGGCGAGGGTGCGGGGACACGGGGCCCGAGCACATGGAGGCGTGACGCAGAGGGAGGGACCGCCAGGGCGAGAGGGCAGGAGGGGCGGCGGCGGGAAGGACAAGAGAACGGCCCGTGCCACGGTGCGATTCATTTTCAGAGTAGCTGGGACGAGGCTGCCGGGGTCTCAGCCGGGCTCCCCTCCAGTTCCCGCTCGCGGCCCCGCCCGCCACTCCGTCTCATCTCCTTCCCGTCAGCCCGAGAGGGCCAGTTTCCCGCACTCAGCAGCCGGGCCTCTGCGCCGTCTCTGCACCCTCCTGGGTATTTTTCTGAACCTGGATCCAAGGCTCAGAAAAAAGGGGAGCAGAGGGTGACAGGAGGCAGCTCGGAGATGGAGACCAGGGGAGGACTTGAGGACGGGGAGGCCGAGGGCACCCGTGGACAGGCCGGGGGCTGATGCCAGGGGTGCAGGACAGGCCTGGCAGCCAGGTCCAGGGACTGCAGACACGGGCACGGTGACAGGGGAGACGAGGGTGGCACGCAGAACCGCAGGTGCCTTGAAGGCCCACTTCCCCGGCCACCGCAGAGGCGACAGGCGCGGGCCTGCTCTCCCGTGCGGCCACACGCTCCCTTCACCGTCTGCCTGGCCTCCCTCCTCCCTTCTTAGTCCTTTGAGTCCTCCCTGCCTTAAAGCACCTCCAGGAGAGCTTCCCGTGAGGTCACCTTCCTCCCACCTGCCGCGGGACGGTGCTTATACCCCACGTGGAATGTCGGTGCTTGGTGCGGCAGCCGCGGGCAGGTTCCGCAGCTCCGTCTGGGCCTCGCTTGGCCCGGGGAGTTCTGCAGAGGCCACCCGGGCCACTGGGCACAAAAGTGCAGACCCACCCTCACCACGGACGGGCACTGTGTCCCGGCAACCTGCTCCCTGAGCCCAGGGTGTCTCGGGAAGGCGCCTACTCCCTTGCCGGAGAAAATTAATTGTCCAAATGCCTGGGGGTGCATTATGCAGCCTGCGCTCCACGTTTGCATCTTCACCTGCTTTTGCGTGTTTCTCGTTTTAAACTTATAGTTCACTTTTGGGGAGGGGCCCGGGGAGAGAGGGGTCACCACACGGCCAGACAGATGCCAGCGTCCGTGAGGGACAGGATCCCATGAAAGGACCAAGCAGTGTCGTCTCGGAGCTCATCCCACCTTGTCTGCAGAAGGACAGTACGTCGGGGCTTCCTGTGGGTTCCTGGATCTTCCTCCAGTGAAGATTCCTTTGGGTCCACTCGAGACCAAGCACCCTGGGGAGGAGATGGACGAGGCAGGTCCCTTTCTCGCTAACCCTGAGCAGCGACGCCTCGGGCCGAGGGCAACAGAGGTGCCATTCTGATCTCTGGATTCCGTCCCTTTCCAGGGAAGAGGCTCTGTTTTCAATCAAAAGACAAGATCATTCTAAATGCCATCGCCCCGTGCCCATCTGGGCTCCTGGAAGCGAGCTGCTGGCGTCTGAATCAGATCATCCCCACCGACGGCCCACCGCCCCCGAGCTCTCCGCTGGGAGACGCTCCTGGTTCCCCTGCAGAGTTGCCCCTGTGGAGACGGGAGTGTTTCCTTCCAAAGGAGGGTGGGGAAGAGCAGGTGGCACCGAGAATCATTTCATCACAGCCTCTCTGACCCTTCAGAGACAAATGGTTAAACTCACCACAATGAGCTATTCGGTGGATTTGAATATTTTACCCCAAGAGCTGCAGGAAGAAGGGCCACTTTCCTGGACACCCCAGAGGGGCCAGCAATGTAATGGACAGGCCGAGGGGCTTCCTACCTAATCCCAGACCTCCTGTCCAAAGACACTGGGTGTGGCCGGCGAGCACCCAGCACAGAGGCTGAGGAAACTCTCAGCAAAGGGGCTCCTGAGGAAAATCCCAGGCTCCCTCCCAGCCCTTCCCGCCGCCCCTCCCAGGACGACACAAGGAAAGGCCCAGAAGGAGAGGGGCCCAGAGGTCAGAGCCCTGTGCCTGGTGCAGGGGAAACACCCATCGTCAATAACCAGGCACTTCACAAGGGGGGGACACCCCAAAGCACAGTCACCTCGTAACCTGTGAGTTGAATCCTGTTCATGAAAAGGTGTCTCAAGTGCATTCAAAGCAAATGTTCCTTGCAGGAGCCTCCACGAGAGGAGCCCACAGGCAGCTCCTGCAGGGCCCGTGCTGCTCGCCCGGTGATGTTCAGCCGGAACCGGGGTGGGCAGCGTGAGGCCTGCAGCCTCTCCACAGGTCTTCGCATGTCCAGCTCAGTTCTGTTCTGATGGAGCCGTGTGTGTGGGGGGGGGTGCGTGTGCTCATGCACGTGCGTGTGCATGCATCTCCCACCTAACAGAGTGGGAGACTCAGATGTCACTGTGCCTGGGCACCATGCCAGCACCTGGCTGCTTTTCTTCCTCCATCAGCCACGGGCCAGCGAGCGCTTTGCAGGTGGGACACGAGGCTGGGGGGAAGCGCTCGCTGGCGCAGCCCAAGACAGCCTCACTCCCACACCCACGGTCACCGGGCTCCCTGGGGCCTCCTCCCCAAATTCCAAAAATACTTTCACCTGTTCCGTGCGCGGTCTCAGCCTCCCTGGCAGCGTCCTTCTTCTCCCTGGTGGAAAATGGCCCTGGGAGGGCTGAGTGGCGGGAAGATTGTTTGGTGGGCACGGACAGGACAGCGCTTGACACGCATGTGAGCATTTCCAGAAGCGACACACAAGAGGACAATCTCAGTGTGGACGAGCATCTCATGCACGGGGGTGGGTGTCCTGGCCACACGGGGGAGAAAGCTAAGGCGTGCTCCGAGCACAAGGCAGGGGCTCTGCGCCCACGGGCCCAGGCTCAGACCACAGTCTCGATGGCCGTGGCGTTCTCGCCATCGTCCTGCCGTCTGGGCTGCGTCTCGTCCTTGAAAGCCCTGGTCAGCACCACTTTCAGGGACTCCTTGAACCGCTTCTTCTTACTGCTGCCCACGAAGAAGTAGATAAAGGGGTTGGCGCTGCTGTTGATGGTGGAGAAGAGGAGGGAGACGTGGTGCAGGCTCCGGAAGGTGGCCCAGTACTCGTAGTACAGCAGGTAGAGGAGCCGCATGGGCATGGCGCAGATGAGGAAGATGACGATGGTCACCGTGATGACCAGGTACAGCTTCGAGGAGTGGGAGGCCCACGTGTTCCTCCGGATCTTCACCACCAGGACGGTGCTGGACACCAGCATGAGCGGCGTGAAGACCAGGAAGCTCAGGACGCCGATGAAGACGATCACCGCCCGGCAGTCCCCGCGCGAGGGGCTCTGCTCCTCGTGGTCGATGCACTTGACATACTCCATGGTGGTCACCAGGCAGGACAGTGCCCACAGCAGCGCACAGACGCAGGCCGACTGGTGCTTGGGGCGATGGCACCGGTACCAGATGGGGTACAGGACGGACAGGCACCTCTCCACGCTGATGGCCGTCAGCAGGTAGAGGCCCGTGTTGTAGCCAAACAGAAAAGTCACCGATAAGGTGACGATGGTATAGTAGCCGGAAGTGAGCTCGATCTGGAAAGCGTAGTCCACGGACAGAATGAAGATACAGAAGAGCAGGGAGATGTCAGCAATCGACAGGTGAGTGATATAGACCGTGAAGGGGTTTCTCCTCATCCGGAAGCAGAGGAACCAGAGGAGGACCCCGTTCTCCACGAAGCCCACGGGGGAGATGGTCATGATCGCCCAGTGCACGACGGGAATGTCCCCGCGGGGGTTCCAGTCAGAGGCGTTCTGGCCGCTGGAGGCGTTGGGGAGGGTCGCGTTGGCCCCGTCCATGAAGGGCCTCGGCTGGGGCTCTGGGGACGACTCTGGAAATAAGTTTAAAACACAGGAACATGGAGGAATTTGAGCTGTGCATTGTAGCTTTCATTGATTAAAAAAAAGTTTAATCAGCTCCCCTGATAGGGATAAAATTAGATGTTTCCCCCAGAAAGGGTAGGGGGTTAAGGCCTGCCCCCCAACACCTCCCAGTTCTGTATTATTAGCTGCTTGTGGTTCAGCACCACAGAGAAGTCAGAATTCCGGGAGTCTAGTGTCTGGTCCACACTTTCTGTGCCTCCGCTGCTGACCCCAGGGACCGGGTTCATCGCATTAAAACACCGTGACAGAAGTCAGGTTTGGCAGGCCACCGTCATATTTTAATGCATAAAGTGCCGTCAGCGACTGGTACCTGCTCTTCAATATTGTAACCGTGTTTTTGAAAGCGCAGACAATGAGGAGGCATTTCTGTCCCGTGTTCCCGATGTCGGTGACAAAGCTGGCGCCTACTCAGACCAGGTATGCCCGCGAGCCAGCCCCACCCCTGGAACAGATGGCGAGCGGAAGGAGCCACCGCCCGGCAGAGGCCTGCGCCAGGAAAACCCCGTGGATGGACAGTCAGCAAAGCCCCAGCCTGAAAACAACCCAAACACGAACTCTTCAAGGCTGCAAAGCAAAGGTTCTCAGAAACTTTTCCCTCACGCTTTAGAAATGACACAACAAATAAATGCACAGCCCACCTCTTCCTGCCGCAGAGCAAATACACTTTCACAAAGGAAACAGCTGTCCCCAAGCAGAGGCCCTGGAGCCAGCCCAGGGGACTGAACACCTCACCTGACTGCAGTTTCAACTCTCCCAGGCACGTGGTCCTGGTGGCCAGCGTGGGATGTCCTGGCCAGCGTGGGATGTCCTGGCCAGCACCGAAGAGCTCATCTTTCCCATGCCCCAAACGAAGCTGAGGTCATCGGCCAGACCTTTTCCATTCCCCACTCTGCGTAGGTTACCGAAGCCTGATCTGATTCCCTCTTCCCTTGTCTTCCCTGCTTCTGCCTGTTCAAGCCTTTCATTTTGTACAGCTTCTCAGAGCAGCTCTCTGCTCCCTAGGCAGGAAGTTGCCAAGACAAGACCTGGTGCGCTGTCACTTCAGACCTGGTGCGCTGCCTCCAGCACCGAGAGAAAAGGGTTAGACGAAACCAGGCTGGTGCAAGCAGGGGTGGGGTTGGGGCATCGAAGCCAGAAGCAGGGAGCGGTTGTGAGGATGGACACCGGCAGCCAGTGGAGTGAGGAGAAAAGAGAGGTCACCAGAGAGACGACAGATGGTGGGCAGGAGGCAAGAGCCCTTTCCTGAGGACCCCAGCAGCGCCGGAGACCGGGAGCCCCAGCATGAAGGTAGAAGAATGGAGAAGAGGGGGGATGGGAGGGGGGTGGTCAGGGGGAGGGGTGGTGGGGTGGAGGTAGGGGTAGAGGAAGAAGCAGGAGTAGAGGGACCTTGAACTATCCTGACTTCCAGGGCTTTGACGAAACCTCAGATGCAAGGCCTTCAGCGATGTCACACACCTAGCGCATTCACAGTGGCCCTGGGGGTCGGCTTTCTCTAAGTTTGCTCTGATGAACCAGGAAAGAGGCATGTGCAGGTCTCTCCAGAAATCGTGACTGCAGGGAAGACTTTGGGGTGATGAGGAAGGTGGGTGGCATCTTTCAGAATGCAGAGGGATCTTGGAACACAGAATTTCTTTGACACGATATCCACAGGAGTTTGTCTCTGACCTGTGTTCCTGATCTATGAAAATGAATATTTGGGGGTGCAAGGGGTTAAGTGCAAGGTGGTGCAAGGGGTTAAGTCCCTGGTGGTGCAAGGGGTTAAGTCTCAGCACTATGAAGCTATTGCCAGCCACTGCAGTATTTCAGTAGATCCACCTGTTCTGCTCCCCACTCTGTCTCTGGAGAATCCTCTCACCCTCCCCCCTGCACACCCCAGTTCTTATATGCATAAATAAGTAAAATAAATCTTTTTTAAAAAGAAAATGAATATTTGGGCTAAGGCATAGTTTCTCTTGATAAATAAACACTGAACAAATTTTTTAAAAACAAAGAGTAAGAAGAATCAGCTGGAGTACAAGCGGGTGAGAAGTCTGGAGGGACGCTGTCTGATAGACATGTTTGGAGCCACATCTGTGACTCAAGTCTTTCTAGAAGCCATGTATAAAAAAAAGTAAAACGAAGCAGATGAAATAAATTGAATAGCATATTTTATTTAACCCAATGTATTCAAAATATCATTTCAATATGTAATCAATATAAAAAATTCATGAGCTATTTTACCTTCTTTTTTTCACTAAAGTGTTCGAATTCCTGCATGCTTTTATTTAAAGACTCATTTTTATTTATGTATGCATACAAGAACTGGGGTGTAGGCCAGAGGTACGGGGGTGAGAGGATTCATCAGACACAGAGTGGGGAACAGAACAGGTGGATCAACTAAAATCCACTGTTGAGGGGAGCAGTGGGGAGACAGGAGAGGTCTACAGCACCATGTGGGTAGCTCCCTGGCCGGGGATCAAACTTGTGCCGCAGTGGCTGGCGATAGCTTGATACTGCTGAGACTTATCCCCTTGCACCACCAGAGAGGCCCAAAGTCCTGCGTGTTTTGACTCTTAGGGCCCCTCTGGCTTCAGACCAGCCACGTGCTTATCAGCCACGCAGGGCAGTGACGCCCCTACGGGGCAGTAAGGGACTCAGCCATTGGAAAGCCAGAGCAGCTCATCCAAAGAAGTCAGAGGTTCTCATATTTTAAGGACATCCCTCAATCACTGAGTAGAAACACAAAATTGGGACCTAGTAAGAATTTTTAAGAAAATTGACAAGAACAGGAGCCTCCCTGGTAGCGCAGGCGGTTGAGCACAGCGCTGTGAAGCTGTCCGCAGCCTCTGCAGTGCCAGTTCGATCCCCGCTGGCCTCAGAGCAACCCACATGGTGAGCAGATCTCTCCTGTCTCACCCGCTGCTCCCCTCAGCAGTGTATTTCATCCGCCTGCCTATTCTGCTCCCTGCTCTGTCTCTGGTGAATCCTCTCACCCTCCCGTGCATCTGGCCTGTACCCTGGTTCTTATATAAATAAAATAAATCTTAAAAAAAAAATTGATAAGAACAGTGTTGTGCCCCAGATACACCCCCACAGGCCACACTGCCTCCCAGTGCCAGCTCCTGCCCCTGCAGAAGAGCTCTCCTGGTCTGTCCCCCTCCTTTTGCTTGCTTTGCTCTTCCCTTCCAAGCCTCTGCCCTGAATCCACCGCCCACTGCTTCCACCTGACTCATCCCTTAAACAGCCGGTACCAGAGCTTCCTTCCGCACCACTTCCTATTTCTAGTCAACTTTTCTTCCTTGCCCCAAAGTTTCTAAATCCTCTCACAAAAATCAATCAGGAAACGCATGTCACACATCAGATCAAATTGCATTTTTCTTTTAAAGTCAAACCAAAGAAACCAAATATGCTTTCTGAAGATAGGCCATCTCTATGGTCTGAGAAAAGGAACACTTGTTCCACTGAGCTAAGAGTAAAGAACAAAGAAATTGGTAAGACACAATCCCCTGCCCAATGTCTCAGAAATGGGTGAAGGAGAGCTTGGCCACACAGGGCAGGCACGTGCAGAAAGCAATGTCTCAGGTTTTGAGCAAGGCTTTGCGGGGCTGGGCTTTGAAGGGTCCATAGGAGTCGGTTGTCCAAGGAAGAGAAGGACCTTTTATGGAAAGAGACCAGATGGATGGAGGCCTGAGGGGCAGGATGTGCATGGTGGGGCCAGAGGAGTCTGGTGACCTTGGGTAGAGGGACGGCTTTACCAGAAAATGAACAGACAGACAGATGGACGCCTGGGCCTGGTTATGATGCCTCATTAAATGTCAGGCTTATTTTACAGACTATGCTTCACCAACTTTTGTGCTTAAAAATTACCTGGGGTTGCTTATTTAAAATGCAAACTCTGGGGCTCCCACTGTTTCATGAAAGTGGGGCCCTAGAATCTGAATTATCGCGGCTCAGAGAATTTTGATGCAGGTGGATCATGGACCACGGTCTGACACGCACTGCCATCTGCACTCGGGAGCCGGTAACAGTCTTGGCGCACGTGGTGGGTGGGGTTAGCCTGAGCTGAGCTGCAGGCGGGCGAGCCTGGGTGCACCCAAAGGCTGCCTGGCAGGGACAGTGGATGAGGCAAAGGGGCTGTTGGAATAGTAAACAGTCCTGGGGAGAAAGAACAACTAGGATAATGGCCAAAGGCGAGAGGATTCTAGACAATTCCAAGAAGACCCCCAGGCCTTGGTGACCATGAATGGGGGGCAGAGGGCAGGAGAGGGGAGCGCCCACGGGCTGAGTTTCCCACCTGACGAGGCTGGCAGATGAGCGGCTGGTGACTGAGCTTGGGAGCAGAGGCAGGAGCTGAGAGAGAGGAAAAGAACGAAGTCAGTTAGTGGGGATGTGAGAACCTTCCGGAAGATAGTCACAGGGCAGATTGCAGGTGAGCTCATCTCCTGAGGGCCTGCATGCTTAATAAGCAGAACTTCCTAAGACACAGACGGGAAACCTTTAGAACATTAATCATCATGGCGCATTGGCTGACTGTGAATTTCAAGTGCGGAAGCCACCCAAGCCAGGGGCTCCCCCTCCGTGCCCTGCCTCTGGCCTAGACACTGGCCGGGTGTCCTCACTGCCAGTTGTTTCCTGCTCCGGCCCATCTTTCCCAGCTGCTCACGCCGCCGCCCGGGCCGCGCCCAGCCCTCCCCCGCACTCTGAGGCATTCCGCCATCGCCTCAGAGCTGTGACCGTCTTCCCCGGGGCAGACGTACAGGCACATCTGCCCACCAAGCCACAAGCTCCTGAACAGGGCTTGCCGCCTTCTTGTCTGGATTGCCAGCGCTGGACACACGGCAGACACTCAACATGTGCTGGGTTATTCCCAGAAATGAAGCCCAATGCCACGGTCCTGAAAAGGCACTCGGTGCCCCGGGGAAGCGAAGCCCGGAAGC